AAATTGAATCAGGAATAGAAAATTTGAACAGACCAATTACTAGCAATGAAATTGATTCAGTAATCAAAAAACTCCCAACAAAGGAAAGTCCAGGACCAGACAGTTTCACAGGTAAATTCTATCAAACATTTAAAGAAGAATTAATACCTATTCTTCTCAAACTATTCCAAAAAATAGAACAGGAAGGAAAGCTTCCAAATTCATTCTATGAGGCCAGCATTACCCTGATACCAAACCAGATAAAGGCACTACAAAAAAAGAGAACTATAGGCCAATATCTCTGATGAACATAGATGCAAAAATCCTCAATAAAGTTTTAGCATACTGGCCACTTCCGGGGACAGGGTCTGGGGGAGGGGTGGCAGGTGTCATGTCCGGCCGCGAAGGTGGCAGGAAGCCCCTGAAGCAGCCCAAGAAGCAGGCCAAGGAGATGGACGAGATAAGGCATTCAAGCAGAAACAGAAAGAGGAGCAGAAGAAACTTGAGGAGCTAAAAGCGAAGACTGGGGGGAAGGGCCCCTTGGCCACAGGTGTAATTAAGAGATCTGGCAAAAAGTAAGCTGTTCCTTGTGCCCGAGGCAATGATGATCCTTAATTCCATTCCTGTTTAAACATTTGGATTCCCTGTCATAGCATCTGTTGCTACCTATAGCTGGAATGAAGTGTTGTCTTAGATCCTGTTGTACATTTAAGAATAAACTTCTGTAAAAAAAAAATAAAATAATCATAAAACAAAAAAAAATATTAGCAAACTGAATCCAACAATACATTAAAAATCATTTACCACTATCAAGTGGGATCTAATCCTGGGATGCAAGGGTGGTTCAATATTTGTAAATCAATCAATATAATAAATCACCATCAACAAGAGAAAAGATAAAAACCCTATATCAGATAAAACAGATAAAAAGTATTTGACAAAGTACAACATCCATTCATGATAAAAACCCTCAACAAAGTAGGTATAGAGGGAACATACCTCAACATAATAAGGGCCATATACAAGTAACCCACAACTAACATCATACTGAACAGTGAAAAACTGAAAGCTTTTCCCCTAAGATCAGGAACAAGACAAGGATGTCCACTCTCAACATTTTTATTCAACATAGTACTGGGAGTCCTAGCCACAGCAATCAGACAACAAAAAAGAAATAAAAGGCATCCAAATCGGTAAGAAGTAAACCTTTCACTATTTGAAAATGATGTGATAGAAAACCTGGAAGACTCCACCAAAAAACTACCTGAACTGATAAATGAATTCAGTAAAGTGGCAGGACACAAAATCAAAATACTATTTTATTTCCATACACTAATAATGAAGCAGCAGAGAGAAATTTAAAAAATGGTCCCATTTATAATTGCACCAAAAATAATAAAATACTTAGGAATAAACTTAACCAAGGAGTTTAAAAGATTTATACTCCAAAAACTATAAAACACTGATGAAAGAAACTGAAGATGACACAAAGAAATGAAAAGATATTCCATGCTCATGGACTGGAAGAACAAGTACTGTTAAAATGTCTATACTACCCAAAGCAATCTATAGATTTAATGCAATTGCCATCAAAATACCAAGAGCATTCTTCATAGAACTAGAACAAATAATCCTAAATCCATGTGTATGGAACCACAAAAAAAAAAAAATAGCCAAAGCAATCTTGAAAAAGAACAAAACTGCAGGAATTACAATCTCAGATTTCAAGATATCCTACAAAGCTGTAGTAATCAAAACAGTATGGTACTGGCATAAAAACAGAAACATACATAGATCAATAGAACAGAATAGAGAGCCCAGAAATAAACCCATGATTATATGGTCAATTAATCTTTGACAAAGGAGGCAAGAATATATAATGGGAAAAAGACAGTTCCTTCAACAAATGGTATTGGGAAAACTGCACAGCTACATGCAACAGAATGAAACTGGACCACTCTCTTACACCACACACAAAAATAAATTCAAAATGGATTAAAGACCTAAATATGAGACCTGAAACCACAAAAATCCTAAAAGAGAACACAGGTAGCAATTTCTCTGACATTGGCCATAGCAACATTTTTCTAGATAGGCCTCCTAAGGCAAGGGAAACAGAAGCAAGAATAATGTATTGTAACTGGGGCACCTGGCTGGCTCAGTCGGTGGAGCATGTGGCTCTTGATCTCAGGGTTGTGAGTTTGAGCTCCACACTGGGTGTGGAAATTGCTTAAAAACAAAATCTTTAAAAATAATAATTTATTATGCCAAAGTAAAAACTTCTACACAGCAAAGGAAACAATGAAACTAAAAGACAACCCACCAAATGGGAGAAGATATTTGCAAATGACATATCTGATAAAGGGTTAGTATTCAAAATATATAAAGAACTGATACAACTCACACCCAAAAAACAAATAATCCAATTTTAAAAAGGGCAGAAGACATGAACAGATATTTCTCCAACAGATGGCCAACAGACACATGAAGATGCTCAACATCACTGGTCATCAGAGAAATGCAAATCAAAACCACAATGAGATATCACCTCACACCTGTCAGAATGGCTAAAATGAAAAACACAAGAAACAGCAAGTGTTGGTAAGGATGTGGAGACAAAGGAACTCATGCACTGTTGGTTGGAATGCACACTGGTGCAGTCACTGTGGAAAACAGTATGAAGGTTCCTCAAAAAATTAGAAACAGGCTCCTGGGTCGTTCAGTCGGGTGGACATCCAACTCTTGATTTTGGCTCTGGTCATGATCTCAGGGTCATGGGGTTGAGCCCTGTGTGGTGCTCCACCCTCAGCAGGGAGTCTGCTGCTGGAGATTCTCTCCCTCTGCTCCTCCCCCTGCTCGTGTTCTCTCTCTCATAAATAAATAAATA